CTAGATTATATAACCCTTTAATTTAATAGTTATTATATTCATATTAATAATTACTATATTCAAAATTGATTATTGTTATATTTAAAATTGATTGTTGTTATGTTCAAATTTGATTGTTAATTTGTTCAAAGTTGGTGGCCAAAACTAATATTATTTCATTATCAATACTTATTTTATTAATAAGCTTATTTTATGGATATTGATTTATAGACAGCTTATTTCATAAATAATATCTTTTTATAAATTACACTAACTTTAATTCTAATAATATTACTTTATTTGTAAAAATGAGCTTTTAATGAAATATACTATTTATGAAATATACTATTTATGAAATAAATTTGTCTATAAATTAATAGTCTATAAAATAAATTACTAATAAAGTATATAGTATCTTTAAAGCAGTGTTGTTGATTAGAAGTTAAACTTATAAAATATAAAAATTTTACTGGAATAATTTTTTATTGAAGTTATATATTATTAACCAATAAAAAAGTATAAATAGTCAATTATTTTATCTAATAGAAATATAGATTTAAAATAATTTTTAGGTGTACTATATTGTTATAAAATATTGTATTCAAATACATTATTTCAAGTATAGGTATGTTATTTAAAGTGCTTAGCAAAGTATTATTATGAAACAAAATAAAAATTTTAAGTAAGTTTAGTACAAAATATACTTACTTTTAAAGCATTTTTTGTAAGCATGTTATTAGAAATGTACTGAAGCATTATTTTGAAATTATATATATATTCAAAACATTTTTAAAATCATGTTATTAGAGATGCACTAAAGTATTATTTTAAAATTATATATATTATTTTTAAAGAATATGATCTTCTAAATAATGCTTTGGTCTATTATTTTATAACAATACAGTATATCAATTAAAAAATTTTAAACTATATTATAAAGAATCAAATATAGTATAGGTTATCATTTTAAAAATTATTAAATTTACTAATTTTATATAGTTATTTTATTGTATTTATATTACAATTAATATTTTAAATAATATCAAAAGACTAATTTAAAAATTATAGGATATTCTATAGAATAGGTGGGTAATATAAGAAATAGGCTTTACTAATGATTAGTAATCATTAATTTTTTAATATTGGAGTTGTAGAGTTGGCAAAGTTTGCCCACCTATTCTATAAAACATCCAAATTATATTATAATATATAGCAATTAATTTAAAGATTTTTAAAAATTTTATTAAAGAGTAAGCTATACTATATTTGATCTATTATAAATAATATTAAACTTTAATTAAGCCTATTTAATTTTATATTATTTATATAATTTAAAGTACTTTTTAAAAAAAATCAAACTATGAAAAATAAACAAAATACATATGAGAATGCCTACAGCAAAAGGGGGATAGGACGATATATTATATAGTTCCATTTCCCCTTTTGCTATAAGTGTCTCTATATTTAAAAAGTTTTAGATTGTAAAACTTTATTATAAAAATCAAGAGCATTTTGGATCTTAGAGAAGTTAATATAATAGTGACTTTTTTAAAGATAAAACTAATTATAATAATTTTTTTAAAACAAATTTAATTATTTTTAATAGTAAAGTTCTATAATTCTATTAAAACTTTCTATATACTCCTTTTTTAAATATTTTTTATAGTTAGATTTTTTAAAAAGTACTTTAAACTGTATAAATAATATAAAATTAAATAGACTTAAAAAGTTAATTATATAAATATCTTTTTATAGATTATAATTAAAAAGAACTTATTTACAGGTTATATAGTATAAATATTTACAACCTGAGTGTAATACATAACTTCACTGCTTTAAAATAATTTTTATAGTAGCTAATACTGAAATTGACTAATACTGAAAATTAGTAATTAAAATTAAAAATATAAGTTCTGCTAGAATTCATATATGAAGTGCTTTATATTAAAAGAGCTCATTTTTATATATATTTTATTTTGAGATAATTGAGTTTAATTATTTGTTTTGATTTTTGAACTGATCTGAGATTAATCAAATTTTATGATTTTGATTGATTAAAGATAACAAGTAACTTTTAGATAATTTTATAATATATTTAGCCTTAGCATTATATATTTTTTTTACATTATCTTGATTTTTTATTAATTGATGATTCTCCAGTGAACTGAAGAATTTTTATAGTATAATGCAATATGATTCTATAAGTAAATCATATAGATGAAAATGTGGAGATTCTTTAAAAAAATATAGCATTCATCCAAGGAAATCCTTTTTTTACTAAGTAAATTATCTTTGAACTTTTAACAAAAGTTATAAAGCTCATCAAGACTTATCTAATAGTGGTAAGAATATTAAAATCAGCCTGGTAGTTCTTGAGAAATCTTTAAAAAACATTTCGCTAATATATAAAATTTTTTAAAGAAAATTGATTTTTTAAAGGAGATTTTATATAGTCAGTAAAATGTTTTTTAAAGATTTCTCAAGAACTATCAAGCCAATTTAATGTTTTTACTACTATTAGATGAGACTTAATGAGCTTTACAACTTTTGTTAAAACTCAAAAATAATTTAGGGAGCTGACAGAAAGGACCTTATTATAACCTCCCTGGAGATTGTCAATTAACTACTTCCAGAGATTTCAGAATCAGTCATTTAATAATTACAAAAGTTAAAATAATTAATAATATAAATATAAATTTTATAAATTTTATATACTCCTTATATATTTTATACACCCTTGCATAATTTATGCACCCCTTGCATAAAAATACTTGGAATGTATAGACATGTATGAATATGCAAGGAGTGCATTAAATATACAAAAAATATATAAATAATAGTTCTAATTATTTAAAATAATTAGGATTATTATTTTATATACCCTTGTATATTCATGCGTATTTATATATATCTATATATATTCATGCATATTTATACAAGAAGTATATAAATTATGCAAGAGGTGCATAAAATATGTAAGGAGTATATAAATTTATAAAATTTATATATTTATATTAGTAATTACTTTAACTTTAGTAATTATTAAATGATTGACTCTATTATCTTTGGGAGTAGTTAATTGACAATTCTCAGAGGGTTATAATAAGGTTTTTTCTATCAGTTCCCTTATTTAGTAAGAAAAAAGTTTTTTAAACAAATGTTATATTTCTGTTTTAAGTAATTTATATATAGAACTATGTTGTATAATACTATAATTATTCTTCAGTTTACTATAGAATTGTCTATTAAGCAAATTGACTTATTTATAAATAAAAAATTCAGTTATATCAAATTTTATATAAATCTAATAAACTTATTTTTTGAAAATTGTAAAAATAAGCTATTTTAATATAAAGCACTCTATATACTCTTTAATTATAAATTCTAATTCTAAATTCTAATTTTAAAAAAAAAATAATAAAAAAATACTTCAAATTTTTTTAAAAATTTCATATTAAAATAGATTCAAATTTTAGCATTAGCCAATTTCAGTATCAGCTATAATTAGTGTTTAAAAAAATTAAACCAGATCAGATTTAGATTTTGACCTAATCCCAACCGTCAGATCAGTTTTAGCTCAGAAAATTCAGATTGGACCAGATTGAGCGGTATTGGGTCTAATTTTAGAGTCATCTCTTTATATAATCACAAAATGTGATAGATTTGAATCAGTCACAGGACAAATTCGGATATATCACATTGTGTTACAATATATATGACAGGTTTGAATTTGTTATATAACAATTTTGAATTTATCGCATAATATATCACAATATATATAACAAATTTCAGATCAACTATCAGATTGGCCTCAGATTAGCTCCAGACCAATCCGAATTACAGATTCGGATCGGATCTGAATCAATCCTGAATAAACTGGGATTTTTAATTTAATTTCAAACACTAGCTATAATAATTATTAATAAGTTGTTTAAAACTACAAAATTATTAAATTATAATATTTTTTATTTAGATAATTATAATACTGACGATGATAAAACAATAGAAATTTTAATTAATTATAAAACAAAAGATTTTCATTCAACATGTTCTATAATGATATTAAATTCATCAACTATGCAATTAGAAATATGTAATAGACCAACTACTCGAAGATTATGAAATCTTATTGGAAATTGAGAAATTAATTCAACATGTGTTACAGAAGTTGGTGATAATCCAGGAAAACTTGGTGTTTGTGATTTTCACTTTAATTTAGATCAAACTTCTGATTTTTATCAAACTGGATTAAAACAAATTATTGATACTAGTTCAGCCTCAATATCTTATAAGCGATATCTTTATTGCAATTATAATTTTCATATATTTACAAGAGGAAAAAATTGTAAAGCTCATGCTTGGCGCATAATTGGCAAGGATATTATGTTGCCATGTATTACTTTATATACTTGTAATACCTTATTAATACATGAATCAATAATATGTGAAAAATTAAAGTATGAACAAAGCTATCATCGTTCACATTATATTTGTCAAGCTTGTTTTACAAAAAATGGTAGCCATATTTATATACCTCCAGGACAAGGAAAAAAAGAGCTAATTGTGTAGATTCTCATAATAATGAAAATGAAATAGGATTATGTATGATTGGAAATTGGATATTAGATGTAGCATCATCATCAGATGAAAATTTAAAAAAAAATTTACATTCTAAATTATTACATTCATTAGCAGTTTATTGGAGAAATGATCATTTAAATAATTTAAATCAACTTTATACAAAAGACTCAAGTTCTGAATTTATACCAATTACTACAAATGTTCCAAGTATTTTTATAATAAATACATGTTTAAAACTTTGAAAAGCAGATAAATTAATACAACAACAATATAATAAAATACTTCCTGAAGATTCATTAAAATTTGGACAAAAGTTAGGCCAGCTACTTCTTTCAAACAATAAAATAATTAATGCAAACAAAGAAAAGCTTGAATCTCCATCATCATTAATGGAATATTTTAATATATTACCTAAAATTATTGTAAATTTTTTTTATGGAATGATTGAAATTTTATTAAATCATCGATATAAAGTTGCAGAAAGACAATGGCGAAGAAGAACATTAAAAAAATTAGCAGAACCTAATAATCAACAATCTATATCTTTAGAATATAATAATCAAAAATCAGATCCGATAACTTTAATTCGTATTGTTAACTTTTTAACTTCTATTATCTTAACAATTGCATTTAAAGGTAAAAAATTTTGGATAACTTATTTAATGTCAAGTATTTGTAGACGTCCTAAATTTTTAACATTTTTACAAGAATTATTACGAACTGTTTATGTTATTGCACATACACAACAACATGAACGTCATTTAGAACATCAACAAATGAGTTTAGTTATACCAAGCAAAAACTTACTTATTGGATCACATATTTGGAATTTAGCTACAATTGATAATATTGATTTTATGCAAAAATCTTTTAAATTTGGCAATATATTTGATATACCTCGTAAAACTGTTCATGCTACATTACGAATAGTTTTTCAATATACAATGCCTATACCAGTTTATGGAATTGGAGAAGCACAATCTATTATATTATCAAATCAACAATTATTTGGATTTACATCTTATTCAATAGAATTGCTAGATATTTTTAGCTTTGTTTTTAAATCATTACTCAATTGTTCTAGATTTTCAAATTTTTTATTTAACAAAAATTTTGATAATGCAGATATTCACCAAAAAATTTTAACTTTTATTCCAAAAGGCTGTTTTATTGATCCTCCAAATATTGTAATTTTAGAAGCTGGTGGTATGCCTAATGATGATGAAGGAATTTTTGAATCCTGTGAAATGTATAGTGATGATAGAGAATTAACATATTCTAAATATTTAGAAAAATATTTAGATATAGCATCAGATGAAGCAATTTTTCATAGAATATATGATTATAAAAAGGATATTAATCCATTTACATGAGTTATATTAGGAGCATGGCATACAAACAAAGATATGATTAGTGTAATTATTAATATATTTTCAGGATACGGTATATTTAATTTTACTGCAGCTTTAGGTGTTAAATATTTAAGTAATTTTCAAAAAGTTGTAGAATATAGAGTTGCTTCATTAACTTTAGATTTATTATGGACATCAGTTGGAATTGCTCTTCATTTATTTGCTGCTAAACAACAAGTCACAGTCGATTTTCTTTTAGATGGATGGTCTAATAATTACTGTTCTGTGTGGGCATTATTTTGGAAATGGACAGGTTTTTGGAAAGCTCATAAAATAGGTATACGTACAGGTAATTTTGATATACAAATACATGCTTTAAAAGCATTTGCACTATTAATTCCTGTAGCAAAAAAACTTAATTATGCAACTGCAGTTTGTAATTTTTTAACAGAAATAGATAATGATCCTCAATTAGAAAGACTATTACGATATGCTGCTTCAGTTAATATTTCACAGAAAGATCATTATTTAGCACACGATGAAGCTCAAGAAGTTTATGGAATTAAATATGTAAAACAATCTTTAACAATATCTCCACTTGATGATGAAATTGTAAAATTACAAATGAAAGCTGCACAAGCTGAAAATGTACGTATTAGACAATTAATTAATGCATTTTTAAAGAAAAAAAAATTTAAAAAAAAATACAGACCATATTATTATTTCATTAAAAGAAAAAACATGGAAACTAGCATTTGAAATATTGGATTTATTTGAAAATTCTAATCAGCCAACTCATAATTTATTACAATTTTCACCTGAGCTTAATTTAACTGGATATGATTTTTTATTTACTGCTTATAATAAAGGTAAAATTCGAATGGAAAGCCTTTTAAAACAAGAAGTTTATGGTACAGAATTACATGATACAAGTGGAAGAAGAGGTCGTGAAGTAAATATTTATACATATTTACAAATACAAAAACTATTTGTTAAAAAATCTAAAGTTAAACAAAAATCATCAAATCTTAATCCTACACCAATTTTTGAACCAATTATTGCCACATCTAGTACAAACAATAATATTAGTTCAAATAATTTAGCTAGTTCTCAAATAACAAATGCCACTAATAGAAAAAGAAGATCTGAATTGCAACAAACTGAAACTCATATAACAAAAAAACCTCGAAGAACTGTAACTGATTCAAAAAAAAGTATTTTAGAAGCATTAACTATGAAAATTTTAAATTCAACTCCTACTAATATTGAAATTAATATAACTTTGGAACAATTAAATGAAACATGGGATCGAGAATCAGTTTTGCAATATGTTAGAAATGCACGAAAAAGAATTAAAGGAAAAAATGCAATACACTAACTAGCTTTCAAAGCTAGACAATGTCTAAAGACACAATTTTAATTTTTTAGTTTTAAGTTTATATAAAGTAATAATATTTAGGATAAATATTATAAATTTATATATAATAAATAGCTCTTAGATTTGGGTAATATTCTGGGGCTATAATCTTAAGTTTTTCTAGTTTTAATTTTTTTAAAATAATAATACTTAAAATATATATTATAAACCTATGTATATATATTGTAGGTGAATTTAAAATTTTATAAATTCTGAATTCACTTAAGTGGGGTTTAAATCTTTAAAAACTTAGATATTAACAGAATTTTATACAAAATGAATCTTTTAATTAATTCATGATTATGACAATGATATATTATTTAGTTTTTTTTAGTATTAAAGTGAAGTTTTGTTTTGTATTTTTATTAGATATTTAGTAGTATTGCTTTATAGCTTATATCTATATATCTATATTAAAAATACAAACTTACTTGGAGACTTAGAATAATAATAGTTAGACTTATTATATAGAGCAAACGACAAGTTATCTGTAAACTATACAAGCTAAATATACAATGATTGATTTAGTAGAAGATCACTACAACTCTAGTATATTATTACTAATATCTTTAGACTTCTATAAAGAGCCAACTCTTAATAATAATAATTCTAACACTTTTAATAATAACTTACCTTATATAATTTTATATAACTATGATATTTATTAGAATAAGATTTATTATATCTTAATCTCATTACACTTCTTTACTCCTGTTATAGAACCGTTTATTATTTTATTAGATTAATATTCCGATATTGTATAATTATTATTGTTATAGTACTGCTGTTAAGAAGGCCACGGTACTGTAACATTTGGTGCCTCCTGGCGGAAATATTTTAAAACCTCTACCGGACGACATTATCCCGGCCCCCTCTTGATTATTAGCTGTTTACCGGACGATAGTTATCCCGGATTGTATTGTATTGAGTATTGCGGACGACAACCCCCGCCACCAAGGATTTATTTAGCTGGTGCCTGGACGCATTCCCAGGACATTGACGGATTCCCCACGAGCCAAAGTGTAGGCGTAAGGATCCAACCTCAAGAAGTAATTGACGGATTCCCCAAGAGCCAAAGTGTAGGCGTAAGGATCCAACCCCAAGAACATTATTTTATTTTTCTTTTCTTTCTCTCTGCTAGCAACTAGCATTTGGATTTTGCTCTATGACTGATAGAGTTACCGAATTACATAACGAATATATTATAAACCACGAACACGAACACCAACAAAACCCTGCTCTTCCTTTTACCACCTTACAAACTTTAAACCCAGACCTCTCTTGTCAACTTTGTTATCCCCCACCTAGAACCAGCCCTCGTACTTTTCTTCGTACACCTTTTAGAAGATTTTGGAATTGGTATTCCAACACCTACAACGCCTGTAGTTATACTTCCCACACTACTACTAGTTTTGCTCACCTAACTGTAACCCGAGACAGATCCTCTATCCGCACCACTATTCGAGATATTATTTTTAGTTGTCGCTATAACGGGAATATAGGAGACCCCAGAGAAATTGCTCTAGCATTACTCAGAAGATATACTACTCTTACCACTTTACCTACTATCGACTTTGAATATCAAACCGTTTTTGACCACTATATCGACTTAGCCTATAGTTTTGGATACGAGGAACCAG